TGGCTGGAGCCAACCGGGCCCACCTTGGGAAAGTCAAGGCCGCGGCGCGCGAGATGGTGGAAATTGCAAGGTGGCCCCGGCGAGCGCGCCGCGCCCCCCCCCTCCCCGCCGCGCCAACTGGATCCACGCGCCGAGCGAGAAGGCCCCGAGCGGCAGGCGGAACGCCTGCGCAAGCACCGCGAGCTCAGGCTGGAGAACAACTGCTGGCGGCCAACAGAACTGCGCGACGTGCCGGGTCGTAGAGACTGCGCGCGGGTTGTGCGGCATCCCGGGCAGGCTGGTTTGGCAGGTTCCCTCGTCTATAGCCAGAGCCCGAAAGACGGAGCTTGGCTACGGGGCCATTCCAACTCGCGCCAGGCGCAACGCCGGGGCCTCGTGGAGGCCAAGGTGCAGCAACATCGGGGCAACTTCGACCGAGCTCCATTCGGGGATCTCCGCAGGAATGATGTCGGCCACCTGCCTGCTGGGCCAGCCCCAGAGAGAACGGGCCGCTCAGGGGAACGAGCTTGCCTTTCGCGACCTCGAGGGCCAGGTGGGCCATCCTGGAGGCCAGCTGCGTTGCCCGAAAGATGCGAGCGAGGTCGTGGACAGCCTGCAGAGCGCCTCCAACGTCGCCCGCGCGGACCCGACACGGGCCAACCCCGAAGATTTGGACCGGCGAGACCAGGTCAATCAAGAAAACTGCAGTGCTCAATGCGAGCGCGAGGACTCCGCTCTGAATCCACCAGATGCGCTGGAGGAGGGCCTCGACCGACGAGCGCAGGAAGGGGGCGGAGGGAACGAGCGCGTCGGGCAGGCCAACCAGGCCGAGGGGGGGCGGAGGCGGAAATCCCGATTCAGGGGCGGGGGGGCCTGGCCGAAGCCCAGAGAGAAGAACGCAGAAATGTCTCGTGAGCCAGGGGGAGTGGCCGACAGGACCCTGCTGGACACCTCTGACTCCAGGACGTCGTTCCCGGAATTCCGCGCCCCAGGGTGCAGCCGCGCTGGCGGGCCGGAATCAGGCCCAGCAGGGCAGGGCGAATCGCTTGACTTGCCGCGGCCAGCGCGAGCTTGAGATCGCACTTGCGCGGCCCCAAGACCCGGGCTTTCTCGAGTGGCCGAACGCGCGTGGCATCGCGGAGCTCAGCGCCCGCCCTGAATCGCGGCCCTGGCACTGGCAGCAGGCCCTCGACATCCCGAGGGCCACTCCAGGGCGCACCAAGAAAAATCGGCCCCGACATCGCGAGCCGCCCGAGCGACGTCGGGCAGGGCGTCGGCGGGGCCGGGCGCCGAGCGTCGCGCCGATCAGATGGCGCGTCGGAGCATAGCGCGACGCGGGGGGGGGATGATGAAGGTCGCCGGCGCTATGGGCGGACGACGGAGGCGCGGTTCAGCGATCGGCGGCGCCCCGCGGGTTTCCGTGGAGACATAGGGCCCAGGAAGCGGCGAGGAGCCCCCCGAGGCGGTCGAATGGCCCCGCGAGGGCCCCGCCGTCAGGCGCGTGAGCTCCCGGAAAGCGATATTCTTCGATGGGGCGGCAGCCGCAGGCGCGCGCGCGCCCCGAGGGCGCGGCGTCGCGCCCGGAACTGAGCGCGATCGCCCTCGGAACGCCATCTCGCCTCCAGTTCCTGCTCAGACGCCTCGGCCTCCTCGAACTGGACCTGGTCGACCCGGGCCTGGAACGGCGGCGGGCGACAGAGCTCGGCGCGACCGCCAGAGTGCGAGATCGCGTCCCCAACGATCGGGCGCGAGTCCAGGAGGCGAGCGGCAAGCCGAGAAGTCCTGGCGCCAGACGACCCTGGCAAGCGACCTGGCCAACTGCAGCAACGTGTCCAGGTGGCGCTGGCGATGTCGGAAAAGAGAAGCCCTGCTCTCAGCCGCGACCATCTCCGCGATGGCCTCGGGATAGACGGGGCCTCGTTGGGGCCGAAGAGGTCGCGGGGCGATAGACGCCAAGACAACGAAGTGTTCCGAAACCGTGCGATCAGAAACCTGGGCGGGCGAGTCGACGCAACCAATCTGGATGTCCAACCGGCGTAACTGACGGCCAGAGGGCGAACGGAAGAAGTAGTGGCCGATTGTGGCGCATTCGTCGGCGTGCTTTTCATAGCGCGTCGGTTCTTCGCGCTCGATCTCGGCGAGCAGCGCCGACGCCTCGCGCCGCTTGGGGGCCCGGGCGCGACGTCGGCGCGCAGTCCGCGCGGGCGGCAGCGGGCGCGCGCGGCGCCGCCGACTCGCGCGTCGCAAAATTGAAAGCCCCAGAGGCCATGGCGGCGCGCGCGTCGGGGAACTCGGCGGCCGCCGCGCGCGGGGCCCGAATTGCGTCAGCCACGCGACGAACTTGAGCAGCAGCGAGAGCATGGTTGCGGACGTTGAAAAGTGCTGAGGGTGCGCTCTGCCGCTGCGGCGCCTGGAGTCGCGCGCCCAGGAATGAGCGCCCCCTGCGATGTAGTCGGCAGCGTGCCATCGCATAGAGCTGGGGATGGACAAAGAAATGCGACGCAACCGCGGCCATGGCCAGCGTCAGGGTGGTCGCAGAAACTAGAATGCACAGAGATGCCTGCGGTCGGGCCGAGGAAAGACTTGAGCTGGCGATGGCCCTGCTGGATCTCCTGCAACGCCATTATGGTCTCGAGCGGCCGCAGTCTCAAACAAGAACCCCCGCTTCAGAGCCGCCGTATCCCCGCCAGCTTGAAGAATGGCGCGAAAGTTCCAAGCGGGGACGCGCAGCGCAGGGGTATGACCGCCAGGTGGAGGAGGAGGGAGGCGAAACAACGCTGCAGCGCTAAAGCGACCACCGGCCGGGGTCTGTCGGGCGCGCGAGCTGCTTGGTGGCTGCGCGCAGCGTGTCGTCGGACATGCCGCGCTTGCGTAGCTGGGCGATGTCCCGCTACATCTTCGGCGGCGCGTCGCCGTGGAAATCTTCGACCTGCATGATCTTGCCCCAGCCGGCCGAGAGGGCGCCGCGCTCGCGGTCGGAGAAGAGGCGCTTGCCAGGGCGCTGCGCGTCGACGATCTGGCGCGCCTTGCAACGGGCGATATCCAGCTCGATCTGCTTCGGGCCCTTCTCAGGGCCCACAAGTAATCGGCAGCGCTCCAAACCTCGGGGTCGACCCAGAACTCACGCCACTCAACGCCATCCTTGAGATGGGAAACAGCAGTGGATGCTTTGCGGGCCGCAGCTTCAGGAAGCCCAGAGAAGTGGACCTCGAAACGCCTGGCAGGCCAATCGCCGCGCTGCTTGATCTCAAGGCCCCCGTTTTCGAAACCGACGCCGGAGAGCGAGGGCTGCAGCGCCGGGACGACGCCGGCGGAGGTGGTGGGCTTCTGCGCCACGACGGCCATGATGGCGAGGTCAGCAGGCCGATCCAAAATCGAGGGCGTGGGTGGAGTGGCGCGCGGCGCCTCGGCAGTGAGGGCCAGCTGGCGGCGCAGTTCGCCGACCTGCTCGCGCAGCTGCTCTATACTTATAGCGTCGTCGTGCTTGTCGATGCGCACCTGCGCAGCGGAGATGAAGGCGGTTTGCTCGCCAGTCTGGGCCTGGAAGCGTCTGCTGATGGAGTCTATCCGCGGGGCCACAACCAACGGAACCAGCTCCTCAATACCAGATGCCTGCTTGGCCACCTCGTTGTGCATGTTGGGGGGCATGGCGAGTGGGGTATTGTAGTTCTCGCGGGCGGTCTTGGAGACGGAGCCGCTGACCTCAGGCGCTGATGGTGCCGCGCCTAGAGTCGAACTCTTCACGGCACAGCTGTCTGAGATAGCCGTCGGAAATGGATTCGTCCTGAACGTCATGGGGGCCATCAGTGGGAGCAACAGCATGAAGAAAGGTATCAGCGTTGCGTTTGCGGGCAACACACCGATGCCGCCCTTCCCCTTGTCGTTCGAGATCTCCTGGTCGAGGGAAGTGGACGCATCGTCAATGACCATGCCGATTTCGTTGAGTTCCTGTGGGGACACGGAGGCCACCGCAGAAGCTACATCGGCCATCGGGGGAGCGCGGGACAGGGGGATGTCCGCTGGCCGATGCAGGCTGGAAGGCCCTTTGGCGAGGGCTTCCTCAATCAAAATGGGCATGTCCCGATCTCGAGTCAAAAGGGCAACGGAGGAGGAGGAGGGGGGGGAGGAGGCGGAGGAGGAGGAGGAGGAGGAGGAGGAGGAGGAGGAGGAGGAGGAGGAGGAGGGGGAGGAGGGGGAGGAGAAGGAGGAGGAGGAGGAGGAGGAGGAGGAGTTCCTGGGCCATATCCTTTTGCGTTCGGGGCCTTGGGTGTGAGGGGCTCAGACGGGGGTACACGCTGGTGATACGCGGCCTGTCCGAGTCACACGGCGTACTGCAATAGACGGGGTGGCCTGCGGTCGGGCGACGTCCGTCCCACAACTTTGACAGCCATCCTCCGAAAGTTCGGCATCTCCCTGGTTGGCCACGCTGACTCTTGAGGGCCAGCCGCCGCGCGTGTGGCGTAGCAGGCCCAGCGCTCTCATAACACGCGAGTGGCACGGATCACAAGGTGAGGGCCCATGTTCCTTGCATGAGTTATGAGGGGGTCCCACGGGTCACCACACACCTCCTTGACCAAGAAAGAGAGAGGGTTCCGAGGAGGAGGGGGGGGAGAGGAGGGGGAGGTGGTTGGACCCAGTCAGGCATACCTTCGGGCGAGGAAGACGAGGCGGCAGCGACGGCGGCAGCGACCGGCGTGGAGGCGGGGGCGGCCGAGACAGAGAGGAGAGGAGAGGAGAGGAGAGGAGAGGAGAGGAGAGGAGAGGAGAGGCGAGGAGAGGCGAGGCGAGGCGAGGCGAGGCGGGGCGAGGCGGAGGAGGAGAGTGATGACGAGGGGGGAGCCAGGAGGAACGAGGACTGACGAGGAGGGAGGAGGAGGAGGAGGAGGGGGGAGGAGAGGGCATGACGAGGAGGGAGACGACGACGACGACGAGAGGAGGACGGCAGGAGCGGCAACGGGGGGCGCGCGGTGCTCCTCGGCCGGCCGGCGCGGGCCGCCCGCGGCCGGCGCGGCCGCGGCCGCCGCCGCGCCGGGCAGGGGCTCGCCCTCGACGTCGGGGGGGTCCGCGTCGCAGACGAGGCGGTATCTCGCACGTCGGGGGGGGGGTCCAGGGCGGGGGAGGAGGAGGAGGAGGAGGAGGAGGAGGAGGAGGAGGAGGAGGAGAGAGGAGGAGGAGGAGGAGGAGGAGGAGGAGGAGGAGGGGGAAGAGGAGGATGAGGAGGTTGAGGAGGAGGAGGGGCGGAGGATCCGTCGTCTGAGCTCAAGTGTGCTCGTTCGCGGAATCTCCACTCCCGGTGCACACGCCTCCTCCCGCAAGGGGCAGGAAAGACTCAGCTAGGCACTATGACTCAAAGGTGAAGCGTGCGCGCCCCTTCTAAGCCACCCTGAGCCGTTGGCTACGGACAAGAGTACCCTTGCAGAAGCGAAAACGTAGACGTTACTCTGTGGTTGCTGTCCCCGTTCCTGATTCCCCATCTGCTCCTCCTCAGGTGTAGGACGGCGCGGTGTACGAGGGACAGTCAACCCGTATAAGAAAGACGCACGATAGGGATGCGGGGGGCCTTGGCAGGCCATGTCGACACTCTGCTGGCGGGGCGCGGCCAGCGAAAGCGGCCAAGGGTGGGCCGAAGGAGAAGGAAGCAAGAGTAACCTTGGAAAGTCGCTCCTCCTTGCTGTGCGGGTTGACTGTATGGGAGCGAGGAGAGGAGGAGCAGCAGGAGAAGGAGGAGGGAGCAGGGGCTCCTCCTGCTGCCCTTTGCCCGCCTCTTTCTTGGTCGTGGGATGCGAAGATGCTTGCGCTCTGCCTCGCGAGTCGAGATCGTGGCAAGAAGCCGCGTGAGGTGGGGGGGGATGCTCACGGCGGGGGGGTCCAGGAAGAGCGCCGCTGCCAGAAGAGAAGGACGGACAAGAGCGCGAACGAGGAAAACCACGGCGCCCGTCCAGGGGCGAGAGCAGCCCGCGCCCCCAACAGGGGGCTTCCCGCCGCGATGATGGGAGAGGGGGCCAGCGCCGCGCAGAAGATGCTCGACTCGAGCTGGAGCGCACGTGCCGAGGAGGGGGCCCAGGAGAAGGAGGACGAACCAGGACGCGGGACGCCCTCCATCCCACGCGCTGGGCGCCTGGCCGGCGCACGCATGTTGGACACGGCCGGGTAGACCGTCTCCGGGAGGTCGCGGAAGGCCCCGGCGAAGCGCCGGTCGTCCACGAAGAGGTCGGCGGTCCGCTGGCCTGGCGCGCCCAGCTCCAGCAGCACGCCGACGGTGCTCCCCGTGCCGTACGTCACGGGCAGCGCGGCTCTCCTGGAGGGCGGCAGGAGGACGCGACCCTATAGACACTTTTCTCACATGATTGGCGATCTCTTCCTGCCCCCGCCGTACTCGGCAAACGATACCCGGGAGTCTTGGTGTGCCTGCATCCCTCCTGACATCCGAGCGGACGCAGCGACGGCGCCGCAGGGAAGTCAGGCCTCTCTGAAGCTCCTCCCCCCCCTCCCCGTCCTCCACATCTTCCTCCGTCTCCTCCGCCTGCTCCTGAGGGGAAGGAGCACACCACTCCTGGTGCCCACGGGGCCACGAGACGCGCCAGGTCCGACATCTGGAGATCACCGGCCAGGGCTCGAGCAGTGCAAGCTGGCTCGCGGGCAGGAGAAGCCCAGAACAAGGCAGGGTCGCGAGGGGGACCTGCTTTGTTTCCACGTCCGCGCCGAGGAACTGGGGAGGGAGAGCGATCCTCCTCCACCTCCTCCTGACGCCCAGACACGAGGTTCCTCCCAACCGAACTCCGCTCAAACTCGATCTCCAGACGCCTCCTGCTAGGCACCATCCTGATCTAGTGTCCGATCCGCTCGCGGCATTGGCGGTTAGAGGGGCCCCGAGAGCACAGAACGCAAGGAGGAGGACAGTGAGGCGAGAAGCCGTCCTCTCGCCACTTCCCCGGACCTCTCGATCCCTTCCCAAGCAAGCAAGCGGCGATCACAGTGTGCATCCTGAAGGACACGTGGGCTGATCGGCAAGACCTCTCCTGGCTCTTTTACTCTGCGCACCAATTTCCTATTCTTGGCATTTGGTCCAGAGGCCCTAGCACGGCATCACCATGCCAAACAATCGGAGAACACGGCAATCATTTACGGGCGCAGCCCGTAATTTGAGTTTCGGGATGTAGACGGACAGAATTGACAGAACAACTGAATCACCAAAGCCGTTAGATGGCAATTTTATTTAATCGCTTCGCTCATTCCGCCGGCCCGTATTGTGCCATCGCAGGCGTTTGCTCGCGCGTTCTTGGCCTCTTGGAGCCTCGGTGGGGCCGTTTGGGGCCTCTTGGCGCCTCTTTTTAGGCCTCTTGGAGAACTCGGGAGGCCTCCAGGGGGCCTCCTGAGCTCTCGTGACGGTCTCTTGGGGGGCTTTCGGCGGGCTCTTGGCGGGATTTGTTGGTCCTCTTGGGGCCTGGGGCCTGACGTTGTTGGTCCTCTTGGGGCCTCACGGGAGCTTATTGGGGCGTCTTGGGGGTGTCTTGGAGAGTCTCTTGGGGCCTCTTTCGGGGTCCTGGGCGCCTTCTGGGGCGGAGGGCTCGATTTTTCAGTTCTCGGTTCCCTTCTTGAGCCCCTCTTGGGCCCGTCTTGGGGCCTCTTGGTCCGCCTTGGGCAGCACTTGGGCCGTCTGGGGGGCGCTCTTGGGCCGCTCCGGGGCCGTCTTGGGAGCCTCGTGGGCCGTCTTGGAGCAGTCTTGAAGGCCTCTTGGGCCCTCTTGGAGCGTCCGGAAGCGAAAAGGCCAGAACGCAAAAAAACATAGAAAAAACCAATGAAAATCAACGATTTTGGCAACTTGGGGCCCTCTTCGGAGGCCTCTTGGAAGGCCCTTGGAGCGTCTTGGAGGCCTCTTGGGCTGTCTTGGGGCCATCTGGGGCGTCTTCGGGCGATCTTTGGCCGTCTCGGGCCTCTCTTGGACCGTCTAGAAAGCTTCTCGGGGCCCTCTTGGACCGATCTGGAGCCCTCTTGGACTCCGAAACAGAACTCCGGCATCTCTGACCCGACCTTGCCGGGACCTTGCCGGGGACTTGCCGGGGACTTGCCGGGACCTTGCCGGGGTACTTTTCGTCCGGGGACCCCCACAGGGGCCGCCCGCGCGCGCGAACTAGAAATACTGTTAACCAGGTACCGGAGATCGTAGCACGCCCTGGCCCGTTGGGCCGGCGAATTTCCGGGGGGGAGGATATTTCGCTGGCAGTTTTAAGTCATGGTGTCGAGGATCTTTCGCTGGCAGTTTTAGGCCAGGGGGTGAGGATCTTTCGCTGGCAGTTTTAAGTCAGGGAGTTGAGGATATTTCGCTGGCAGTTTTAGGCCAGGGGGTGAGGTTATTTCGCTGGCAGTTTTAGGCCAGGGGGAGAGGAGAGTTCGTTGGCAGTTTAAGGCCAGGGGGTGTGAGGACATTTCGCTGGCAGTTTTAGGCCAGGGGGGTGAGGATAGTTCGCTGGCAGTTTTTAACGAGGGGGTGTGAGGATGTCGCTGGCAGTTTTCAGCCAGGGGGTGAGGATATTTCGTTGACAGTTTTAAGCGAGGGATGTGAGGATATTTCGCTGGCAGTTTTAGGCCAGGGGGTTGAGGACAGTTCACTGGCAGTTTTAGGCCAGGGGGTGAGGATCTTTTGCTGGCAGATGTAAGTCAGGGGGTTGTAAATGCTTCGCTGGCAGTTTTAGGCCATGGGAGTGAGGATATGCCGCTGGCAGTTTCGAACGAGGGGGTTGAGGTTATTTCACTGGCAGTTTTTTGGCCAGAGGGTGAACATCTTTCGCTGACAGCTTGAAGTAAGAGGGTGTGAGGATATTTCGCTAGCAGTTTTAGGTCAGGGGGTGAGGGTATTTCGTTGACAGTTTTGGACCAGGGGGGTGAGGATATCTCGCTGGCAGTTTTAGGCCAGGGGGTTGAGGATCTTTCGCTGGCAGTTACAAGTCAGAGGGTTGAGGATATTTCGCTAGCAGTTTTAGGCCAGGGGGTGAATATATTTCGCTGGCAGTTGAAGGCGAGGGGGTGTGAGGAAAGTTCGCTGGCAGTTTTAGGCCAGGGGGGTGAGGGTAGTTCGCTGGCAGTTTTAAACGAGGGGGGGTGAGGATATTTCGCTGGCAGTTTTAGGCCAGGGGGTGAAAATATTTCGTTGGCAGTTTTAAGCGAGGGATATGAGGATATTTCGCTGGCAGTTTTAGGCCAGGGGGTGAGGAGAGCTCGCTGGCAGTTTTAAGCGAGGGGGTGTGAGGATATTCTGCTGGCAGTTTTAGGCTTGGGGGTTGAGGATATTTCGCTGGCAGTTTTAGGCCAAGGGGTGGGGATCTTTCGCTGGCAGTTTTAAGTCAGGGGAATGAGGATATTTCACTGGCAGTTTTAAACGAGGGGGGGAGGATATTTCGCTGGCAGTTTTAAGCGAGGGGTTTGAGGATATTTCGCTGGCAGGTTTAAGTCAGGTTGTTGAGGATATTTCGCTGGCAGTTTTTTTGCTACGGGGTGTGGATAATTCGCTGACAGTTTCAAGTCTAGGCGTGAGGATATTTCGCTGGCTGTTTTAGGCCAGGGGCGTGAGGATATTTCGCTGGCAGCTTGAGACCAGGGGCGTGAGGGCATTGCGCTGGTAGTTTTAAGCGAGGGGTGTGAGGTTGTGGCGCCGGAAGTTTTAAGCCAGGGCGGTGAGGATATTTCCCAGACGTAACCATTCAGCACCATGTGCCACGCACGGGCGGTCAGCCGAAGGCTACACATCCAGCTCGATGCTGCGCCCGTATATATGCTCGCACCTTGGCGTGGGGCTGGCGGTGGGCCAAGGGGCGAGCTGTCCGGTGTTTTTTCTCGTGAAGCCCGAGGTCTGGCGTCCGGGGCTGCGCGGAGGGATGAGGTGGAGGAGGATGAGGATAAACGACCGTGCCGCAGATGACTTCAGGATGGATCTAGGCCCGCAGTGAGTACCTGGCAGTGGCAAGAAGCGCGAGGCTTGGCGCGCGGCTAGCGCTAATAGGAATGAATTGACATGTCGGTGTAGGGGGCCAGAGGGTATGAATTGGATGGAACCCGAGACAATCGGTCAGGACAGGGAGGGGGGTTCAGCCCAAATCCGCTCAAATCGGTTTCCAAACCCCTCCCACGGTGCATCTTGTGCAATTTTTCACCCCGGATCCGTGTTTGACGGTCCCGTGGCTCCAAACACGGCCCCGGGGGGCAGCCATAGGTGCGAAAGCCTTCCCGAGCCCAGCACCTCGAACCTGCCCCCCCCCCCCCCCTCGTCCTGCTCCCCGGAAGCACTGCTCGGCCACCTCAGACCCCCAGCGGGCTTCAGGCTGCTCAGACTCTGCCGATGCGGAGGGGGGGAGGAAGGAGGAGGCAGAGCACTCCTCTCGCCGCACGCGTAGACGACCCCGTTGGAGGCGAGGCCCCAGGACTGCGGAGCGCACCCCACGGGGGCGTGGACGGAGGCCCAGTCGGCGGAGACGAGGCCAACGTGCGACGGGTCTGAGCCGGCCTGCACCTGCACCTTGCGGCGTGGTCCATTCGCGGCGCGCGCCAGGGGGTGATGGGCGTGTTTTCCACCACCACCATAACTTGGAGGGGGGGGGGTCCTCCTCCTCCTCCGCCTCCACCTCCTCCTCCTCCTCCTCCTCCTCCTCCTCCTCCTCCTCCTTCCCCCCTGCAACTTATGGTGGTGGTGGTGGGAAACATGCGCATCAAGGGGGTGGTCTTCTCTGGTCCGGAACTTCTGCACGGCGCGTCGCCGCGGCAGCCCTGGCGACACGCTATCCCTGGAGAGCGGATGGCGTGTCGCTCCGCTCGGCGGAACAGCTCGGGACAGTGACGCTCGGGACTGGGGAGGCGGATAGTGCCGCGCCGGAGCGTGGCGGGCCAGCACTGGGAGGCTCGGAAAAGCTCGGGACAGTGACGCTCGGGAATGGGGAGGCGGATAGCGTTCCGCGCCGGAGCGTGGTGGGCCAGCACCGGGAGGCTCAGAAAAGCTCTCGGGAATGGGGAGGTGGACAGCGTCAGGTCGGGCGTGTCCCCCTACAGGCGGATTTGGGCCGAACAATTAAAAAATACGAAACAAATGCCCCAAAGTAGCCAAAACAATGATAAAAAAAAGTAGTCCCCAGACTATGTTAAAACAACTATTTTGGGAGATCCCTCCTGTAAAGTGGCAAGACTGACTTACGGACAGCGTGTCGCGCCGAACCGTGGTGGGCCAGCACCGTCGGAGCGACGCGCTGTCCAAAAGCTCCCGGCCGTAAAAGGGAGGCGGGGGGGCTGCGGAGACGGCGGGGGCCTCGTACGCACCAGGGCCCGGAGGCTTCTAAGATTCTCAGTCGGGCATGTCCCCCTACAACGGGGGTTTTTGCTTGTAGGAAAAAAAACTAACAAAATACTCCAAAATGGTAATCAAAAATCGTCCCCGACTATTTTCGGACTGCTTTTGAATGTTCCTCCTGTAGAGGGACAGGCCCGACTTCCTACCGTCGGGAGCTCTTGCTCAGCGCGTCGCAGCGGCGGCCACGGCGACACGCTGTGCATTGCAAGCGGACGGCGTGCCGCTCCGCTCCCCGGGGCCCGAGTTTCTCGGGAGAGCTCGGGACGTTGACACCTCGGGGCCAAGGACAGGAGGAGGAGGAGGAGGAGGCGGAGGAATAGGTGGAGGAGGAGGCGGAGGAGGCGGAGGAGGGGGAGGAGGAGGAGGAGGAGGAGGAGGAAGAGGAGGAGGAGGAGGAGGAAGGAGGAGGAGGAGGAGCAGGAGGAGGAGGAGGAGGAGGAGGTGGAGGCGGAGGAGGAGGAGGAGGAGAAGCAGGAGCAGGACGTGGAGGCGGAGGCGGAGCACCAAATAGGAGATCGGCCTGCCAATGGGATGCCCCGCGATAGTCTTCGCATCTCCAGATGGGCCCGCAGAGCCCCTGGTGCACCTTGCGAGACTCGGAGTAGACGAAGGATGTGCCTAGAGTTCGGTCGGGCGTGTCCCCCTGCAGGGGGATTTTGGACGAACAATCAAATACCCCCAAAATACCCCCCAAAATATGCAGAAATGGTCAAACAAATCCCCGGACTATTTTCTACTGCTTTCGAATATTCCTCCCGTAGAGGGGCAGGCCCGACTTAAGCCGATAGATTTCTCACCGCAGGACGTCTTAAGCCATGTGCCTACAGTCATCGTGCTACTGAAGAGAGGGCCGAGTAAGAAAGCACGAGCGCGTTTCTTTATGTTCGGCGATGACGGGCGTCATGGGGGGGGGGGAGGGCGGGGGGGGTGTGACGTGACGCCGCCCCCCGCCGAGTGGCTCCGGCACCACAGCCGCGCCCGCGCGCACGACGCGACGAGCGACGAGCGACGAGCGACGACGACAACGCGAGCAGCATGTAAGTGGCGATCTGCCCATTGCGCCTGTGTACACCGCAACGCTCGCGTGCACCACACCGCGCGTGTGCACCACAGCGCCTGCGTACACCGCAACAGCCGTGTGCAACGCACCGACCGTGTATACCACAATACTTGGGAGCACTACAGCGCCGGTGTACATACACCGCAGCAGCCATGTGCAACACAACGCCTGTGTACACTACAGTGCTTGCGTGCACCGCAGCGCCTGTGCACGCCACAGCGCCTGTCTACACCACAGCATCCGCGTGCAACGCAGCGCTGGTGTACACCACATTGCTTGCGTGCACAGGACAGGTAGAAGGAGCATGTACGTCAGGATCTGCTGCGGACAACTAATCGCCACGCCAGGAAAGTTCTGATAATCGAATGCGACGTTTTTCCCTCCTCCCTCTTCCTCCACCTCCTCCTCCTCCTCCTTTTCCTCCTTCTTACCCCCTGTCGTGCGGCTTGGCGTTACAACGCACGTGCGCATCTCAGCGTGCACCGCAGAATGGTCGATTGAATCGGTCCACTTGGTTCTCGGACGGCCAGTTTAGCTGGAGCCTCCTGGACGCAAATGGGGATTAGGGTGATGCGGGCGGACTCGGGGGGACTCGTAGATTCCAGCGGCGCTCCTTTGTCCATGGGGATTTGTTTTCCATTGTTTTCTCTGGGATCCACAGGCGCTCCATTTTGTCACAAGGATCCCTTCTGAAATTCTGTACACAACAATGGTGCTGCGTTGCACACGGCTGATGTGGTGCACACAGGCGCCGTGGCGTACACAGGCACTGCAATGCACGCAGGCATTGTGGTGTACACTGTGTTGCGCACGGCTGATGTGGGGTACGGAGGCGCTGTGGTGTACGCAGGAGCTGCTGGGCCCGCAGGCACGGTGACACAAACTGACGCTGTGTTGCACGCGGCAGCTGTGGTGTACATCGGCGGTGTGGTGTACACAGGCGCTGCGGTGCACGCGGGCACTGTGATGTACACAGGCATTGTGGTGCATATCGCCACCTACATGTTCGTGCTACCCGTCCTCCGTCATTCCTAAGCATTCCCAGTCGCCGCTGGCGCGAAACGTGACGTCATCGACCCCCTCTCCCCCTCCAGATGATTGCCGTCATCGGCCCGGACTAGAAAACAGGCTCCAGCCGCGTCCGCGCGCACGACGACGATGAGCGACGAGCGACGAACCACGAGCGACGACGACGGACGACGACGACGACGACGACGACGACGCCTGCGGGCCAGACACCTATGCGGATTCCTACGCGGACACCTACGCGGATCCCAATGCGCACGGCGGCAATGCCCAGAGCGCACTGGGGGGGGGAGCGTTACGTCATGGGGGGGGGGGGAGCGGGGGCCATTACCGCCGTCATGCCCCAAACAATAAAGACACGGGCTCCACGAAGGGGCTGTTCTGGCCCTTGCTAGCTTCGGCCACGAATCAGCTTCACCGACCCAGGCCTCAGAAACGGCCCCCCCCAATCAGAGCACCTCCTGAACCCACAGTGGTCCTCATTTCAGCGTCATGTCTGTACTCTCACTGGCCATCCGGACGCAGCCTCCGTTTTGGCTGGTGGAGCTGCCTGTCCCAAGACCGGGTGGCCGACCAGCCACGCATCGAGCGTGGCCCATCTGCAATCGGGATGCCAACCTCACACCCTGCTCGGCTCGAGAAACTTTTTTGATTCGCGGGTCGAGAGCGCACCTCTTCTGGTCGAAGCTAAGCGGACCGCGCACAGCTCGAATTAACAAAGAGGGGGGGCAGAAGGAGGGGCCTCACGTCAAGGCCAGGAGGGGGCAAAGCCCCGGGATCAGGCGGTGCCGAGGGCGATGTGCTTGCAAAGGGACGGCGGCTCGAGAAACACGGGGGAGAGAAAAGGGTGGAGGCCCTCCAGAGGGAGGGAGGGAGCAACAGTTAGGAAGAGGTAAGGGAGAACAGCAGGGAAAGAGAGAAAGGAAAGACAAGCAGAGCAAGGAAGAAGGACATGTATGATCGACGATGATCCAGAAAACGTGTGTTACTGCAGACGTGCGCAGAAGCCCTTAAATAAGTATGTGGAACACGGTGCATCGAGGGCCGCCAAGGGCTCCGACGTATCAGCAAAGATAGGTAGGCGAGGGACACCTACATTTGGGCGAACCCGCGTTCCATGGAAACTCCAGTAAGGGGGCTTGCTAGGAAAACGTCATCAAGTCTCCAGACATCTCTCGAGGTATCCGAAGGCCTGGAGAGGTCCCCAGAGGCCCCAGAAACCTCGATCCAATGACGACGACGACGGCGACGGCGACGGCGACGGCGACGGCGACGGCGACGACGACGACGACGACGACGACGACGACGACGACGACGACGACCCCGGGCGCCTCCCAGTAGTGCACGCCGCTCTGGAAGCCGCGCGTGGAGCGCACGGCGGCAGCCACGCCCTGGGCGCTGGTGTCCCCGACGAGGGCGACGGCCACGGCAGCTCCCCGGGGCAGGACCCTGGAGACCTCCGCCGCTGTCCTCCTCCTCCTCCTCCTCCTCCTCCTCCTCCACCTCCACCTCTTCCTCCTCCTCCTCCACCTCTTCCTCCTCCTCCTCCTCCTCCGCCTCCTCCTCCTACTCCTCCTCCTCCTCCTTCCCAGGCCGACGCCGTTCCATCCTGGGTGAAGGAAGCGCAAGGGACGCCCGGGGCGCCACTAAGAGTTCCTGGAACTCGACGAGCACCCTCGCGTAACCCTGTTCTCAGGGAGCGACAGGGCGACAGTGGCGTAGGAATTTGGTCCGCATAGATGGCCGGAAATCGGCCTTCCTGCCTGCCGCAGCGGGCGCGGCAACAAAGCCAGTACTGGAATCCTGTGGGGACCAGCTCGGGCTTGGATGGCCAGTCCTGTTGAATGACAGGGCTTGGCATCAACCACCTCGAGCCCGCAGCTGGCACGCACATGTAGGGCATTCGAGGTAACTGGTCCGCGTAGATGGCCGAAGCTCGGCCACCCTGCCGTTACGGGCGCGGCAAATTCAGGGCCAGCCCTGTAGATGGCCAGTGCTGGTTGCTACACTTCTTGGTCAGCCAGCTTAGGCTTCAATGGTCAGCCCTGTCGTGGGACAGGAGTTGGCATCCACAACCTCGAGCCCACAGCTTGGATTGCCAGCCCTATCTCCGGGCAAGCTTTGGCATCCTGCCCTCGCAGCGAGGGCCCAGCTGAGAGACCAGCGAGTCTGGTCCGCGAGGATGGCCGAAGCTCGGCCCCCGTGCGGCGTGTTAACTGCATGCCACTATTGGCATCCCGAGGGGGCCGGGTTGGGCTTGGATGGCCATCCTTCTCTATCGATGGACAGGCGTTGCCATCCAAAATCGAGCCCATCAGCGGGGATGCAAGCTTGTCTTATGGCAGGCTTGACACCCGACCCTCGAAGCAAGGGCACAGCTGGGCATTCGAGGGACCGTCCAAAATCGACCATCTAGGCACCGCCTAGACGGCCCCAAATCGACCATCCTGCCGTTGCGGGCGCGGCAACTTGATACCAGTCGTAGTGCCCAGTGGGTGCCAACTCTGGCTTGCGCGGCCGACCCTGTCAGTGCTGGTGCCCTGTGCGGGGCCAGTTCGGGCTTGGATGACCACCCCTGTCGAGCGACAGCCGTTGGCATCCACAACCTCGAGCCTAGAGTTAGGAAGCCCGCCCCTGTCTCCAGGGAACCCTGCGGTATCCCGTCCTCACAGCGAGGGCAAAACAAGGCATCCGAGGAATCTGGTCCGCATAGATGGCCGAAGCTCGGCCATCCTGCCGTTTCGAGCGCGGCAACTGCATGCCACTACTGGTATCCCGTGGGAGCCAGATTTGGCTGGAATGGCCACCCCTGTCGATGGACAGGCGTTGGCATCCAAAGGCGGCGCTCCGAAGGGGGCAGGAGGACGGGGCTTGGCTTCTCAGCAGGCGGGGTGCTTCTCAAAAAGCCCTGGGAGGTTTTCTCTTTCGTCTTCCGGGGGTTTCTGTGGATCACGTTTTTTACTAGATACCCTTGCCCATTTTCCCCCCCGGCCCCTTCGGCGCGCCGCCAACATCTCGAGGCCACAGCCAAGATGCTTAAACCTGTTCCTTGGCAGGCCTGACATCCAAACCCTCGCAACGAGGGCACAGCTGGGCATTCGAGGAAAGTGGTCCGCGTAGATGGCTGGAGCTCGGCCATCCTGCCGCCGCCGGCGCGGCAGCTGTCTGCCAGGCCTGGTATCCTGTGGGACACAATTTTGGCTTGGATGGCCAGCCCTGTCGGTTGACGGGCGTTGGCATCCACATCCTCGAGCCTAGAGCTAGGATGCCCGCCCCTGTCTCCAGGGGACTCATCGGTATCCTACCCTCACAACGAGGGCACATCAGGGCATCCGAGGAACTTGGTCCGCATAGATGGCCGAAGCTCGGCCATCCTGCCGTTGCGGGCGCGGCAACGTAATGCCACTACGGGTATCCCGTGGGAGCCAGCGTGCGCACAGGGGAGTGGGGGGGAACAATTCGGGGGTCAACGAGGCCCTCCCCCCAGCGCGCGCCCTTTTTACTTATTTTCTGAAACGTAGCTGCTGATGTCGGGGATCGGCGTGGAGATGGCGACGAACCCCCAGCGGCTGGAGACTTCCCGCCGCCGCGAGGGCCCCTCCGACAGGCAACCGTCTGCCCTTGCCAAAGCGCCCACCTCGGCGATCACCCAAGCATCCTTGATTTTGCTAAGGTGGGAGGGCGCCGGCAAAAGCCGAGCAGATCCAGCACCAATGGCTTGAGCCAACATGATGCCGGAGGCCGCACTCGGCTTGGAAGGGCGTGCCAGCCCATTAGGTATCGTCTGCTCGGATGTGGACCTGTTCCAAACATATCTTAGAATAGGTCGGGAGGAGCACGCGGTTGCATTTGAACAGCGTTTTATTCCTCACACTAGGAACCGACCCCCTCGCAGCGAGGGCAAATTTGTTCCTGCGAAGGTTACAGTGGGGACAGAAGCCCACGTGTACCCTCACGTCGAGTGGTACGGGGTTAAGTTAAGGCGCCTTCAAGCAATCTCATTTCAAGTCCTCCTCCTCCTCCGAAAATGGTCTGGGGGAAGCGGGTCTTGAGGGAAATGGGCCCTGGGCCCTGGGGTCTTCCCCCAGGACGAGCTTTCGTCATCCTGAGTCGATGTCTGACAACAGCCATGGCGCCCGCGGAGGGCCCGGAGGGTCCGAAAGCGGTGAGCAACCTCAGGACCCGCTTCCCTCAGGACCCGTGCCCCCCATGGCAGCGAAGCACCGATCACCCGCGCACCACGGCGTGCTCGCCAACCCTGAACCTGTCACTGGGACCTCTGACCCCCAGATCTCTGCGGTTGCTGCAGCACCCTCCCTTCGACGCGCCCCTCGTGCGAGCACCTGGCGGTGGCAAGCTGCTGGCCCGGGTCGTCCAGCAATCGATTTCGGGATATCTTCAACGCACGCATGCAAATCGGCGAAGACCTGCAATCATGCACGCATGCATGCAAATTATTTCTGGATATCTCCAACGCACGCACGCACATCGGCGAAGACCTGGCCAGACACTTACCCCATGTGCTCGGCCAGGGTCGCCGCGGTGACCGTCTTCTCGGCCCGGGGTTTACAGTCCAGGAACAGCTCTCTGATACGAGGATCTCCAACTCTGGGCCTGCGATGCCCGGGGGGGGCCCGCCTCGAGTGAGGCAGCAACTGACCTGCTGAGACCGCCCGGGTACTGCTTGCCCCACAGGCGCCAAGCTTGCCGCGCTTGCCTCCTGAAGGCCAGAGGGCCCAAGAGCTCCTGATATACGTAGTGTTTGATCGGGACATGCTGAAGCCTGGGGGACGCATCGTCGTGCACATTCGTACATCTAGTGCATGCTGACGTGAAAAAGCTGGTTCGTGTCAACCGAGTGCGGCACGATGGGAAGGCCTCCAGATGCTCCTCCTCCTCCAACTCCTCCTCCTCCTCCTCCTCCGCCTCCTCCTCTTTCTCCTCCTCCTCCTCCTCCTCCTCCTCCATTCCCTCTCCTCATCGATATCTCTTCCCTGTCGCACCGCTGGACGCGTCCGTGGGAGAGTCTGGACGTTTCGCTTGAGACTTCCTTGCCAATTGCGATTGATCACGAGGCAACGCAATTTGCAGCAACTGTAAATATGGAGCCCGGGTTGTGTTCAATATGTGGCTCTCGCCTTAGCGCCGCGCGCGTTCGAGTTAACAAGTCGCAAAGCTTCAAGGATGGAGCAGGTGGGGTTTCAAGATGCAGTTGTCGCTTGAGCGCCGTGCACGCTCGTCTTAAAACTGGCAATCGCTTCAAGGATGGAACTCGGCTGAATTTTCAAAAGGTGGCCCCCGCTTGACCTCCGCGCACGCTCGCATTCAAAATGTGGCTCGCGTGTTAGCCCCGCGCACGACAATGCAACACAATTTTTTATCCTATATAACAGGTGCGGTCCGGTGCACATCCATCGGGCCCCCCCTCACCATCCGATATAGAAAACTATTCGGCGCACGCCAATACGACCCAACCCGCACCATTCAACGCAACAGAGAATTATTCGATGCACATCCATCCGACACAACCCTCACCGTCCGAAGCATATATGGCGATTCGCTTTACATCCATACGACCCAACCTTTTATCACTCGATGTTGAGCATTTTCTGCGGTGCCCATCCACCTGGCCCAACCTTCACGATCCTACGCAAACAGCATACAATCCGCTGCACGTCCATCCGACCCAGCCCTCACAATCCTATGTAAAACAGATGCTGTGGTGCGCATCAGCTGATCTTCAGCATCGACCCGCCCCCTGGCCCCGAATATCACCTGGGCACAACAGGCAAAACAACAAGTGAAGCCGATACGTTTCGAGAGCCCCCCGCCGACTCCGACTTTGGACCCAAACCTCTCAAGGCTGCCCAAAGCGCTCCCAGACGCTCCCAGGCGCTCCCAGACGCTACAATCCCTCCCCAAGCGCTCCCAGACTCGCCGTCGCCACCAGCAGCAACAGCATCCACATCATTAGATTCATCGTACTCGTCGCCGCGGGAGGCCCCAAGGAGCAAATGAATAAATTTCGCATTGCATGTTGACCACAACCGATTTTGAGAGAACCAAAGAACAGATAGAGGGCGAGCCTGTTTCAAACAGGAGCTCTCGCCTTGGCGCCGTGCATACTGCATACTCGGCTGCTAATTTGTCCTTAGCTGCGCGGGTGTATGGCGAGTCCTTTCCAAGACGGTGGGGGCATTGGACGAGGAACCCTTAGATGTGGAATCCAGGGGTCTGGAAGCCGGTGGAATTCCAATCGTGGATCGACCATGGGTATCACCGCCGCCCTCATCAGATAGGGAACCTTCCAGGGTCTGCAGCCTCCTGGCCATATTCCTTAGCAATCGCCCCCACAATGTTGGGATCTCCCGTTGGCCTCGCGCGCATTCGAATGCAAAATCCACTGACTACACTCACGTGACCCTTCCTCGACCTCTACGACCCAGCGTTCTATATAGTGCAACAGCGAACACATATGGAGGGCAACTCCTCTTTCGAAAGGGGTCTCCCGCGTGAGACTTCCAAGACGCATGCGTCCACGACTTCGACATCCTGCAACGCTTGGACGGATAGAGGGCTTGTCCTTGACAGAATGAAGCTCTCCCTGGGCCTCCTTCAAGGGCTCTCGCATGGGACTTCCACGGAGGTTACGTCCACGACTTTGACATCCTGCAACGCTTAATTGGACGGATGGGGGACAGGTGCTTGTCAAACTTGGGCTACCCTGGGCGTCCTTCAAGTGGAGGGAGGGTCCTTTACAGCAGGCGTCCTCGTCTGACTGGCGGACCGACAGGACGCTCATCACTCAAGGGGGACGCCCGCAGCGGAAAAGAACACTTGTATGGACATATGGGTAGGGGGCTTGAGGCGGGAGGGTGTCTTGCAGCATCGGTTGATGCATCTCGGGTGTACTCTGGTCCTCCTCCTACTCCTCGCCTTCCTCCTCCTCCTACTCCTCCTCCTCCTCCTCCTCTCCTCCTCCTCCTCCTCCTCCTCCCCTCCTCCCCCCCTCCCCCTCCTCCTTTTTCCCCTTCTCCTCTCGCCTCCTCCTCCTCCTCCTCCTCCTCCTCCTCCTCCTCCTCCTCCTCCTCCTCCTCCTCCTCCTCCTCCTCCTCCCCCTCAGGACCTCCGCATCCGTGTCGCCGCGGCGCACCGCCGGATGGGCGAAGCGCTGCGACCAGCCGACCACCTTCGCGGGCTGGCCCTCCGGGGGGGCATCCGCCCCGCCGGCGCCAGCCGCGCCGGCGCCGAGGCCGGCGGCGTCAGCGGCCGCCGCCGCGGGCGCGTCGGCACCTCGGGCGCGGCGGGGGGAGAGTGGAGAGCCCCCCAAACGGGGCGGTGACCACACCGAGTGGTGGGTCGGTGGGGACTCGGGGTCACCTCACGGCTCTGGGGCTCGGGTCGTTCTCCGAGGACGTCTCTGGCGAGTGGGGCATCCGAGGTCCCAAGACCGTGCGTTGACGGACCGTGCGGTGAGGTCTTGGGGGATGTCGAGGTCATCGCACGGTCTGTCACCGCACCGTTGTGGGACTCCAGAAGGGGGGGGGGCTGGCCAGCAGTGAGCAAAAAGAGAGGATCCGCTGTCCTCAGGCTCCATCCTCAGACGCCCGCAGATGTGTGTCTCCTCTCGATCTCTGCGGTCTCAAAGCTCCCGACCCCTTTCTGCAGGGGGCAGCTTCTTGCCCCGGATCCGCTTCTGATGGCCCAGGGCCCCGGAAACTACCCCCAAGGACAGAAATCCCGCATTCTGGGATTCTGGGTTGGCCTCGAGGTCGAGGATTCTAAAACTCTGGGATTTTTGTTGGGATTCCAAGATTCCTATGTGCACGAGGTCTGGGGACAGTAACATCCAGCAGCTGGGAACAACAGGTGGTCGGGCCCATCCGCCCGCTGTCGTATCGGACTTGATTTGGATGAGGGCCTCTGGCAATGCAAACTACGTAATCAAGTCCCGTTGCGTGCCAGACGGTCTGTGCCGTAAGATGCAGCGCAGCATCAGCAACAGGTGAAACAACATAATCAACGACCAAGTGGAGCAACAGCAGGCATACGGATGGAAGCAGTGCCAGTATCAGCAACGGTAGCAGGAGCATCAGGCGCAGAACTAAGACGATGCGCGGGGGCAGGGGCAGGTGTCAACTCACCCTGGTCGAACGGGTCAGCGGGTCCCGCCCGTTCCACCCCCCATCCCAAAACATGAGAACCAATGGTGGCACGCACTGAGATTGGGGCCGGAGCGCGCTCCCACATGGCGAATGGAAGGCGCCCGCGCGCGGTCCCGCTCCCGAGGCGGCGTGGCAGAGGAGCAAGACGCGGGCCGCGCTCGGGCGGGCGCGGAGCCTCAGAATCTCCTCGCGCGGCACCGCGGCGAGGGCACCATTCAGCTCTCTCCCTCTCGATGAGTCGCAAGTTTTCGGGCAGCGCGGCGACGCAGAAGCATGCGCCGCGCCGAAAGAGGACTGCCACTTTCACGCGCAAGCTGCGCGGCGCTTAGGCGAGGACGGCCTTTCGCCCGCGTTCGCGGCCCCGCTGTCGCTGCCGATCTCCTCCGGCTTGGCGAACAAGACAGGCGCCGCGCCCGAGCCAGAGCGCCACTTCAAAGCGACATCTGTGCGGAGCTGCGGCGGCAAGTCGCCCCAGGTCGCGCGCGGCCCCACCCCCACCGCCTTGGCGAGTGACGAAAACGCGCCACGCCGAAGCGGGAACGCTACTTTCAGGCGAAGTCTGCGCGGCGCGCGAGAGCGACATTGTCGTCCGCTCGCGTTCGACCCCGCTGCCGGCGAACTGGCGAGCAAACGAGGTGCGCCGCGCCCCAGGGCGACAGCTCAACTCCGAGGAGAAAAAAAAAGGCGCGGCGCCAAGGCGAGAACGGTTTTCCACCTTTTTGCGCGGGATGTGCGCCCAGTCCCAGAATTGGCCGCGCATTATACCGCGTCGACGCCAACACGTCCGTAAAACGTGAACTTCTTTTGTCTTCTGCGGGGTAGGAAGGGACGCCCCCAGCCCTGCCCCCGTGTCGGATGAAGAGAGCGCGGAATTGGAGCACACTGATCTAGTACACACCCACGAAGAACAAGGAGGCGGGTGAGAGCAGGGGCAGTCGCAAGCATACGATAGGTTCGTGCGGCGTCGGCACGCGAAAGAGTGTTTGACACCGCGTCGATCGTACAACCTTGAACCGATCGCGGCCCCGGTCGTTCCAGGTTGAACTCCGCTGGCTCCTGTGGCGCCACCGCGTCCCTCGGTGCTTCCGTGTCGCTCTGTCGTGCGGAAAACCTTGACTGGCCATCGCTCGGACGTCCAGTCCCTGTGTTTTTTGGGGTTTCGTGCGTGGTTTGTTCGCCAACTGATCAAGGATGCTCCTCGATGGTCCTCGCCGAAGGAAAAATGCACACTTCCGAGCGATGCCAAGTTGAACGCCATCGCCGCAGGAGCCTGCCGTGCGTGGGAGCACATCGGACGGGGGCGACGACGGGGACGACGCCGAGGCACCGCCCAGCGCTGCGCCGCCCGCGAACGCGGGCAGGCGGGACGCCAGGAAGGAGCCGGCGGCCTCGAGGATGGAGGCGCCGCGAGGGTCCTCTCGGCGGGGGGCCCGCCCTCCCGCCGCCTGGAGAATGAGAATCATAATGTCTGTTCACATACAGTCGAGGCGTTGACCTAAGGAACCCTGAATAAGGAACGAGGCTTCTTTTTCCCATAAGTTCAACCTCGATTTCCCATGGAAAACCTCAAGAAAGCCCGAGGCAAACTTTGAAACAATCAAGGAACACCGAGCCCCTCCCCAACGAAAAGGGTTCCTTCTTCAGCGCCCCGACTGTAGTGGAATCGAGCGTGGACCTCCTTAGACCGTGGAGAAGACAGAACGCTTCGCCTGCGCGGCCTCACTTGGGGCCTTGGGCCACTGACTCTGGCGGACTCTGCAGAAGAGCTCTCCTTCAGGCGGTGTGGGTCGATCACACGGCTTGCGGAGGGACGCGTGGCTGGCGCAAAATCCGGCGGGAGGGAGGGAGGGGCGGGGGAAGTGACAGACAATCGGCGCGTCGCCTGCCTTCCCTGGTCGCGGCGCGGGCGGGGCGGGGCGCTGAGCACCCAAGGTACAAGACAAAAGGACGGTGTATGAGCAGGAGCAGGAGCAGGGCCTTCCTAGTTGTCCTCTGCCGGTGGACAAGGAGGAGGAGGAGGAGGAGGAGGAGGAGGAGGAGGAGGAGGATGAGGACGACGACGAATGGGGCCGGGCAGAGGTGGGAGGTGGCAGGCGGGAGGAAGGGAGCAGCAGCTCCAGGAGTTCGTTGACAGAAGCAAGAGCAGGCGGGGAGGACGAGGAGGACGAGGAGAGGAGATGGAGGAGGAGACGAGCGTGCTGTAAGCACCCTGGCGTAGAGAATAAGGGGGGGAAGTCAAACAGACAAGAAAAATGCTAGAACATACTCAACAACAAATTATAAGACTACTAATAATAAGCATCCCCAGACTCTTTTTTGACCATGTTTGAATATTATTTCTGTAGGGGGACATGCCCGACTTGACATTGGAAAAGCGAGCGCAGGATGCGCAAGAGGTCCTCCGCGGCCGGCGTGGCCACCGCCGACGCCGCTCGGGGGGGCGGCGTCGTTGGGGCTGGCGCGGGCGCCCCCCAGCCATCGGGGCCCAGGCCCGGCACCTCGCGGCGGCGAGCAGGGGGGCAGAGCCTGGAGGGGCCTCGGGGGAGGAGGAGGAGGCAGAGGAGGAGGATGAAGGCGAGGAGGGGGAGGAGGAAGAGGAGGAGGAAGCGGAGGAGGAGGAGGAGGAGGGGCCGCATCAGCCACATCAATCACGAGGGAATGACATTCCCGACTTCGGCGGGAGCCCTCGCGCAAGCCGATCAAGCACCTCCAACGCCGTTCGGGTGGGAGGCGCGCGCGTCACCCGCAGGCCTCGGACACTTTGGGCCGCGAAACAACCGCAAGTGGAGCAATACAAAATTCCATTCAGCACGGCCAAGGAATGGGTCTCGTGGCAGTGGATGGCCAATGGGTGAGCAGCAGCACCCTCCAAAACAGGGCCAGGGGCCGAAACCTCATCCTCACCCTCACCAGGAGGCGCGGCGAAGCGAGCGAAGCGGCTGCCCCGGCACTCGTCAGGCCAGAAAGAAGCCAGCGCTCCACGTGTGCTAAACTTCCGATGGCACAAGTTGCACTTGATCAACGTGCGGAGCACTACGGGGCAGTGTCCCTGCGCACGCACACGCGCTACACGCTCCTGCGCAAAGGACCGCCCGCCCCTCCGTCGCACGTGCTGGGGACCCTCATCACGCCCAACGCGCGCGTACAAGCCGTCGCGTGCACACGTCGTGAAAACATCACGATGGATGGCGACTAGCCGCCTGAGAATAGCAACATGCAGATCATCTTGCAACAAAGTGCGTGCCGAGCACGCGTCAGGAACTTCAGCCCTCTTAGCGGCCTGGATTGCACATGCATCGGCAGCACCATTCAAAAGGCGCTCGATTCGAGTGAGGTAAGGGGCGCTGACTTGGGCTTCCGTGGGGTGGCTTTTGGTCCATTCTAAGTCAACCTCACCTTCACGCTGATCCAAAACTTGCCAGAGAACCACCCACAGATCAATCATATCACATCCACATAGGGCCGCACGCGGCCTACGGAAACCTCGCACCACAGGAAGATAATCGCAGACAATCAAAACTCTGGCCAACGTATACCTGAGGACGAAAATCAGCGCCAGGAGCTCCGCGCGCGGGGACGACTGGTCAGGGCCTGGGAGAGTGCCTGCAAAGCCACCGTCGATGCCATCGAGGGTGGTGGACAGGCGTACACACGCCCACCCGCGCCTCCTTAGTCTGCCATCCTTAGCAAACCTCCCCCCCGATCCGTCAATCCCCCAAACTCCTCCTTCCTTCACCTCGCGATCTTCGAACGAGCCCCAGAACCAGGTGCGATCTAGCGGGTCGGGGAGGTGCCCAGTGGTGCGATCAAGCGGCATGAGCCCGCGGCGCCAAAGTGCTGGACAATCATCATGAGCAGCACGCTCCGCGAGATGGGCCGAACCAGCCACCGTCGTGTCAGGATTAAACTCATTCATGGCACACTCCCAAAAGCGATGGTCTTCTCCCCGCACCGAACACAGATGCCTGCAGCGGAAGCCTCATAACCTGCATGGTGAAGCCGTGCTTCAGTCCAGAACCCGCCCGATATGGTGTTCAATAAAATGGACTGCCCTTCATAATCCAACTCTCTCCCCATCCTCTGATACTCCTGCCGAATACAGGTAAAATCAACACCTCCTTCAACACCTCCTCCTAGGTAATGATCAGAAGCTCTGCGCCAAATCCAAGCGTCGCACGCAAGCTGAATAGAGCGGCGGAGGTGCACGCGGAAGTCTGGCTGGGCCAACTGGAGGAACACACCCCGATCGTCGCGCCAGCGTGCAGGAGAGAGAGGCAGCCATCCTAGATCAAGCAACACCGCAACCGTGGCCGCCACGGGGCCACGCACACGACGCCATATCTTATTAGCGGGTACGGTGGAATACTCCTGCACCTTACTCCTCCAAAGCACGGCAACCTTCATTTTTGAATCAGGATCCAGAGAGGCCCAGGCCGAAGCAAAACCTTCCAAATGCTCACGCCGAAGTCGATAAATGGGGTCACTCTGAGGTCCTCCAAAGGTCCAAAGAATCGTAGTAGAACAAGCCACCGCATGCCAAGCACCAGAGCACACAGCAGCCTGACCCCGGACGTTCTGGACCTGAGTCGGAGAAAGACCAACCACTTGGCGCCCCCAGGTCCCCACAGCTAAAACTCCAGGTTTATACAACTGCGAGGCCTTCTTCACCAACTTCGTTAAGTACCTAACTTTACGAGCCTTCTGGGCAGCAGTGCGCCTACGCTTTTTGATAATATCCACAGAACGCCGCTTACCAGCCGTAGTCGAGGTCCCAAGATCACGGGTAGCACTCGCCAACTTCAACTTGAAACCAGCTGCCCTGAGATCATTGAAGAGCAACAGAGTAAGTGGCTGACTGTTACCAACAATGGCAGACTTATCGGACAGAATCAGCTCCACTGACTCGAGAGAGTGGCCGAGGTGGACAGCAGCAGAAGCAAGCTGTCGGCGGACCTCATCCGCACTACCTTGGGCCACCTGTGACAAGTCGTCGACATGCGAACGAGTGGGCACCCCAGGATGGCACCGATGATGCACATCGTGAAGGATTTGATACAGATAGACCTTCACCCAAGCCATGGATTGCATACACCCTGGGAGCACTCCTATGCCAGAAGCTATCACATCAGAACAGATACCAGAAGACTCAAGCATTCGAGGGGCCACGTGGATCAGGAGCCCGAGGTAGAGCAGGTGGGGCGGGAAATCCAGACGACAGGCCAAAGAGACGAGCCGCGCTGGCACCACCGTGTCGAAAAACTTAGTGAGGTCCCAGTGCACGGCCGCACTCTTCTGCCATTCGAACATAGCAACCTCATGGCAGATCTCCCTCCGAAGCGCCGCCTGCAAAGCAGAGCTCCCCCTGACAGCATCATCCCAGAACTCCAAGCGGCCCCGGGACCAGTCATCCAAGAAAGCTCCCCGAATCTTACAGCACACCCGATAAAGGGTGGGGCATTTACACACAGGGCGCTCGTCAGTAGCGCTTTTAGGAAGGAGGGCAATGATGCCCAAGAAAATCTGAGAGGGCCACATCATAGCCCGTTCACACGAGGTGTAAAGCTCAGCAAGGGCTCCGAGGGCCTGGGGATCCAACTAGAGAAAATCTCGGGGCCTCCAATGATCCACTCCTACCGCCGTGGTTTCAGAGAAAATGCGACTCGCAGAATACACCTCCCTAGGCTCAATGTCGGGAAGCTCAGGGGCCATCTCGAGGGCCCGCACGCGCAGCTCATCCAACGCCTCCCCAAGCAAATCGATTTGGGATGGGCTGGCCGTCCAGAAACGGCTCCACTTCATCGTGCGGTGAGCCATCATTTCCCCTGGCAACTGTAGCGCGCCCTCGGGCGCGATGAAATACTCCAGCGGGTCACCTTGGTCACGCTTCAGCCGCGCATGGGCCTTCTTAGCCCCGTGCGGCAAGGCCCTCAGGAGCCAGTCCTTGACAGCCTTGGCCGAGGAGCTCCTGGCCGCATGCCATGCTTTCGTGAGGGCGCAAGAGCACCGATCGATCAATTCCTGACATCGGGCGGGATCGATGCTCGTTAAATCTAAAAGCTGAGCTCGCCACTCAGCAGCAGACTGATCAGCAGGTAAGCACGCGGCATATCCATCTACACGCTGGCCAAGGGCATAGAGACGCCGAGCCAGCCCAATACACATATGATGGTTCCCGTGCTGCACTGCCACACGTAATTCAAACAGCCTCTGTGGAACCGTGAACCAAAAAAGTAAGAACAGGCTCCGAGAAACTGCCAGACGTGTTGCGATGATCAGTAAGTGTGGTACGCCGCATGCTCACATGTGTGCCACGCCCAATATAACATTCATAATCATGACCATGCTCAATGTGCTCATGCAACATACACATGTCGTCAGTAGCTCTGGACCATAGCTGATACGACGAAGTCAGCTCAAACGACAGGCGATTGCAAACATGAGGGACCAGATGAGGGCACCGATGATCCTCCAATCGCCACCGAGACAGAGCAGTAGCAAGATAATGAGACCACGGCAAACGCGGGCCTTCCACGGGAGGAAAACTGCGCGGCTTCACCCTCTTGCACAGCTGCTGCAACAGCGCGGGGTGAGGCAGGCGGGCATCCAGAGCACAGTGCGTATTGAAAGGGGACGCGTGATATTGGGTTACCTTCAAGTAGGACGCCAGAGTCTCACTGGCCACGACATAGTCAATCAGCGTACCCTTTCCCATACTGCAAGTATAGGTCACACCCACAGGTGGCAAAACTCTGCTCTGGGCCATCTTCAGAAACCCGCAAAGCCCCATCAGCTCAATGTCAAAATTGAAATCGCCAACGAGAAGCCACGGTATACTGAGAGAATTCACGAAGTTACTGATGTGCCGCATCTTACGTATATTCTCCCCCGAGACCCCCAAACCAGCGACCGTCTAGACGACGCCTGCAGCTATGGTACACCTGAGAGTTTTCAACTCCAAGAACATCCAGACATTTCCAGCACCTACTTCACGGGTGGCGCGATCATGCGCCAAGAAACGTATAACCTACAAACCTTTGTGCACAGCGGCCGCTACCCCCCCCCCCCCCCCCCCCCCATGGGCCCCACCCCCAGGGGAAGGGGTGGCAGGGAGAAAATGGGGTCGCCAATTCATGGCGGCCACATGCCGCTTTGCAGCCTTCCGCTCAGAGGGGGGCTGGCGGTGTTCACAGAACCGAAAGGCGTCAGCCTTGCAATGCAAGCCAGCAAGAAAGGACTTGGCCAGCGCACTCCAACGGGTTATATTACAATACAGAAGCCTCACTTGCCGCTCACCGCTAAAGCTCAGACGGCGGCATCTGCTGGACCGCGGCCTTGAACGGATCCTTGAACTGGGCTCCAACGGACTCTTGGGCACGTCGCATGCGTTTGGCAGCGCGGGCATGGGACTTCTGGGACATGAGCTCCCCCATGCGATGCTGGTCCTGCTCGCCGATGGCGCCCTCGAGGGAGCGCTTCTTGAGGGCGGCCAGCTCATCAGCAGCCTCGGCAGGAAGATCACCAGCATCAGAACCAGCATCAGAACCCGCCTCCGACGCAGGCACCTCGTAGATCTGCCGCTGCATCTCCACGAAGCGCTCGACAAAGTCGAAGGGGAGCTGCCGACCAGCACAGAACTCACGCAATTGGTTATCATCATAGCCAGAAAGACCAGGACAGTCATCATGCATACGAGCGTCGCCATCGCCGCGTCCGCCCGCAGGACGACCACCTGCGCCATCCACAGCAGCAGCCCAGCCGCCGCCCCGCGCAGGGGCGCCGCCAGGAGGGGCAGCGCCAGGCGGGGGCTGAGCCACCCTCGCGGCAGCATCGCGAGCCGCGGCAGCAGCAGCGGCCAGCTCCTGCCGCTTGTTGGCGATCCAGTCCGCCTCGCGGAAGGCGGCCACGGCGTCATCCGCAGCCTTCTTCCTCGCCAGCGCCTCCTGCTCCTCGACCTGGGCCGCACGCATGACAGCCTGCGCCTCGTCCAACTGCTCCTGCAAGCGCTGGACCTTCGAGCTGCGCTGGTGCAGGTCCTGGGAAGCAAGACGAACAGCACGAGCTTGATTCTCCACTTCACGGGTGAGGCGTGTGCGCTCAGTGCAGGCACCGTCATTGAGCTGCGCCTGAGTCCACTCAACAACTTCTGGTGGAGGAGGCTGCGCGAACTCGCCAAGCTGCACTTGCAACTCAGGGCGAGCAGCCAAGAGGACCTGCGATGCCGCACGTAGGTCAGCGCCGTCATCACCTCCTCCTTGAGCACCTTGGGCTTGGGCTCCTCCGCCCCCGCCAGGACGACCACCAGGGGCTCCAGCAGCGTCTCCGATGTAGAGGCCACCGCACTTCGAGCAACACCAGTTGCAGTAGGCCTTGTACTCCCAGTGCCCACAGGCAGAGCAGACATCATACTGCTTCTTCGTGCCACCCCCTTTGGCGCCACCGCGGCCGCGCCAGCCGCCGCCGCCGATGCGCCATGGGGCAAGGTCGCGCCAGGCCATGGCAGCCCTGCGCAGGAATGGACACCGAAAAGGAGACAGATTAGCACCTGTTGCAAGGGTGCCGTGACTGCAAAATGGCCCCTATGGCCGCACTCGAGCGAGGTTGGGAAGTTCAGGAGCAGGCCCCTTGAGCCAAAATGGCTACGGGGAGGAGGAGGACGACGAGGAGGAGCAGGAGGAGGGAGGAGGAGCGTCGAGGACCCAGATCTCGGAACGCTTTCTGCATTTGGCCCCGCATGAGGGGGCACTCCGGAGGCCTCCGGGTGCCTTTGGGGACCTTCAGGACTTCACTTCTAGAGACTCGAAGATACCTTGGCAGGAAATCGGGAGCATCAGTCGAAGACGGCTGCCCGCCTCTTCAAGTGCGTGTGTGTGCGCGAGTGTGCGCGTGTGTGTGTGTGTGGGTGTGTGTGTGTGTGCGTGTGTGTGTGTTTGTGTGTTTGTGTGTGTGTGTGTGTGTGTCTCTGTGTGTGTGGTCGTGTGTGTGTGTGTGTCTGTGTGTCCGTGTGCGTGCGTGCATGCGTGTGTGCGTGCGTGCGTGCGTGCGTGCGTGCGTGTGTGTGTGTGTGTGTGTGTATGTGTATGTGCGTGTGTTTTTTTGTGTGTGTGTGCGTGTGTGTGTGTGTGCGCGTGTGTGTGTGTATGTGTGTGCGTGTGTGTGTGTGTGCGCGTGTGTTTGTGTGGCTCGGTGTGGGTGTGGGTGTGGGTGTTTGTATGCGTGCCGACCCCGTCCCGAAAGGTCACCATCCTTCTTGGACGGCTGCCCATGCCCCTGATCTTGGCCCCCGCCCCCGACACCCGACATCGAGGAAGACTCGTGGCTCGCGGTGGGAAGCCACGCTCAGAGCTCCCCATCACCACCTCCGTGCCTGGCCCCTCGAGACAGGCCCGTCCGTGAGAGCCTCAGGGCCCAAGGCGGAGCGCACAGGTCCGCAGCCACGCCTGTTTTGTTTTGGTACGCGGGCGCGCGAAGCGGGTCGAACGCCGTGCAAGCAGGGGCAGGCCGTGCCACCAGCTGAAGGAAAAAACAGAGAGGCGAGCAACGCCATGCACAGAGCGGGACGGAGCTCAGCGCGGCCAAAATGGCGCGGACGGCATCACGAAGCGGTACCGGGGACACCACGTCCGTTGCACGAAACGCGTGCTTGTTGTTGCTGCCCCGCCCCACCCTCCGCCAGACCTTGACGTACGGCCGCAGGCCGAGGTAGTCGACCACGGCCTGGAAGTGCGGCAGGTCCTCCCTCGGGACCTCAGGGGGGGGGGGGGGGGCTGCCGTGGCCGAGGGGGTGGGGGGAGGAGGCGAGGATGCGAGGGGGGGAGGATACGAAGGGAGGATACGAGGGAGCTGGGGAGGGGAGGACGAGAAGGGGGGAGGGGACGAGCGCACGAGGGAGTCCCAGGGCCCCCGACTCCCGCCTGGCCGCCCCTCGGCACCCGGCGCTTCTCGACGCCGTGGCCGTCGACTTCCCCGACGCTTGCAGAGCAGAGGCCGGGCAGGAGCAGAGCAGGAGAGAGGCAGCCTCTGGCAGGAGGGGCGCGCCTGCAGCCACGAAGCCAAAGGGGTGGGGCGAAGGGGAGACGAGGCGAGGCAATCGCTTAGCGAGCCACGAAAACCCCGGGAGGGAGGCGGGAGGCGACCGCACGTCTGCGCCCGAGGCTTCCTCAGAGCCAGCCTCGTCGAAACCAGGCACTGGCGCTCACTCGGTGAAAGCTCATCCGGAGGGCCGTAGGAACAGGGGAGAAGGATACATGAACGTGGTAGGAGGGGAGGAGGAGGAGGAGGAGGAGGAGGAGGAGAATGGATGAGGATGATGAGGAGGAGGAGGAGGTGGAGGAGGTGGAGGATGGAGGTTGGAGGATGGAGGAGGAGGAGGACGGGAGAGAAGGCGGGGCGAGCAGGGGCCGTGGCTCGGGCGGCCCCCGTGCCGCCCCAGGGAGACAGCGACCCTGCCCTGCCCTGCCCGCCCCGCACGGGGGGGCCCTGCCCGCCCCGCACGGGGGAGACAGCGCCCCTGCCCTGCCCGCCCCGCACGGGAGGGCCCCTGGCTCCTCTCCTCCCCGCGTCGCCCCCCGCTCCGCCGCCCCCTCCGTGTTAGGTCGGGCATGTCCTCCTGCATGGGGGGATCCTGGAGGATTGTGTCATACAGCAATGGCCAAGGAATGCTCCCCAAACATCGTTCCCATACTGTTTTTGTTGATGCTTCCCGACCCTCCTTGGCTGGGTATTCGGTTTGAATAGAGACTGCTCGCGCGTCCTCCTCCCGCCTCCTGCCTCCCGCCTCCTGCCTCCCGCCCCCCCTGATGATTGTGTCCTTTTGCCTTGTCTGGGGGGCTGCGATCTGCAAACAAATCACCACTTTCGAGGGCTGCTAGTGGGTCCAGCGGAATGAGGCACCGCGCGGATCTGAGCGAGACCTCCCCGTCCCTGGGAGGCTGCGATCTGCGAAACTGTCGCCAAATTCGAGGGGTGCTGGTGGGTCCAGCGGAGTGGGGCACCGCGCGGATCTGAGCGAGACCTCCCCGTCCCTGGGGGGGGGGGGGGCTGAGATCTGCGACACTGTTGCCACTGTCGAGGGCTGCTGGTGGGTCCAGCGGAGTGAGGCACCGCGCGGGTATGAGCGAGACCTCCCCGTCCCGGGCTGAGATCTGCGACACTGTCGCCACTTTTGAGAGGTGCTGGTGGGTCCATCGGAATGAGGCACCGCGCGGATCTGAGCGAGACCTCCCCGTCCCTGGGGGGGCTGCGATCTGCGAAGCTGTCGCCACTTTCGAAGGCTGCTAGTGGGTCCAGCGGGGTGAGGCACCGCGCGGGTCTGAGCGAGACCTCCCCGTCTCTGGGGGGCTGCGATCTGCAGAACTGTCGCCACGTTCGAGGGGTGCTGGTGGGTCCAGCGGAGTGAAGCACCGCGCGGATCTGAGCGAGACCTCCCCGTCCTGGGGGGGGGGGCTGCGATCTGCGAAGCTGTCGCCACGTTCGCGGGCTGCTGGTGGGTCCAGCGGAGTGAGGCACCGCGCGGATCTGCGCGAGACCTCCCCGTCCCTGCGGGGCTGAGATCTGCGACACTGTTGCCACTGTCGAGGGCTGCTGGTGGGTCCAGCGGAATGAGGCACCGCGCGGGTCTGAGCGAGACCTCCCCGTCCCTGGGGGGGCTGCGATCTGCGAAGCTGTCGCCACGTTCGGGGGGTGCTGGTGGGTCCAGCGGAGTGAGGCACCGCGCGGGTCTGAGCGAGACCTCGCCGTCCCTGGGGGGGCTGCGATCTGCGAAGCTGTCGCCACTTTCGAGGGCTGCCCGTGGATCCAGCGGAGTGATGCACCGCGTGGATCTGAGCGAGACCTCCCCGTCCCTGGGGGGGCTGCGATCTGCGAAGCTGTCGCCACTTTTGAGGGGTGCTGGTGGGTCCAGCGGAGTGGGGCACCGCGCGGATCTAAGCGAGACCTCGCCGTCCCTGGGGGGCTGCGATCTGCGAAGCTGTCGCCACTTTCGAAGGCTGCTTGTGGGCTCGCCTCTTTCAAAGGCTGCTGGTGGGTCCAGCGGAGTGAGGCACTGCGCCGACCTGAGTGGGACCTCGCCGTCCCTGGGGGGGCACGTCATGTTTTTGCTGCCCCGCCGACGTCTCAAGCCCGTTGCCCACCGTCTCATTTTGGACGTCGCGTCTTCCTGAGTGACTCAGGCATTCACTTAGTTACTCATCGTGTTTCCCTCGATTGGGGACCTGCGAACCTTTCGAATGCCGCTCGCAGAAGTAGATGCGTCCATGTCATGTCGCCGCCTTCTCGCCAAATCTCCCGAGCTGCTCCTGCCCCGCATTGCGCAGGGGTTGGGTACGTCGCCAGGGTAATGTTTGACTATTATTCTTTATGTGGAGGGACAGGCCCGACCGAACCCTAGTTTCAAGTTCGGCTACACGCAGGAAGCCGGAAGCGTCTGGGTGCACGAGGAGTGGTGGAGCAACAGCCATGGAAGACCTTCAGTGACAGCGAGCCCAGTCCGATCCCAGGGCGGCCCTTACTTGAGCGCCTTGGCTGCAGGCAAGAGGCACCTTTGGTGCGTGGCCTCAGGAGGCCGCGGGGAGGCCAAATCCACGCGCGCACGCCAATGCTGGCGGGGACCCCTGGAGGGCCGCGCCAAAGGCAACTCCGTCAAAAGGGCCACCTTTCGCGCAGCCGACCAGCTGGGTCGACCGGCCTCTCCCCGGCCGGGCCTCACCCTGAGGGGCTGGGGCCCCAAGGCACCAGGCCCTGCGGGCAGACGTGCACTCGGCGTCAGGCGACAGAGGGAGCAGATCACCCCGCTCGCTGAGGCCGCCCAGACGTCGCCTGGCCTCCCTGTGGGCAGACCTGGTCCTGCTTGATCCTCTCGCCTCTCGCCCTGAGTCGAGCAGACGACGGGCCATTCTTTGCCCACCACGAAGCGCACCCTTCAACAAGTGCCTTGTTCAAGGGTGCGTTTCGTGAAGGACAAAGGCACCCTTCAACGAGGGCTTCGCAATGAGAGCTGATGGGTGTGAGAGGTGGAGGCTTCTTACAAGCCTCTGACCTCTCTCACCTCTCACCTCTCTCACCCATCGGCTGGCACTGCGAATCAGATCGCGCTGCCACAAGAATCGTGAGACCAAGCCGCCGCGAGGAGGGAGAAATACGTGACTGAAATGGGCGTTGCGCGGATATGATCCCCTCCGGCCAAAGAGGCCACCGCGGCCCAAACCGCCACCGCGGCCCAAACGGCCACAGTAGACGACAGTCAAATACAGCCCGTGCCATCTGGGAACCAAGGTCCGATCGGACTCCCGCCTTGGCGAACTTAGCGATAGAGCGTGTCGAACGCCATGGGAAGGGACGGGCGGGAGGGGTGGGATGCCAGGCCAGATGTGGCGCGAGCGCACCCAGCTTGCCTCCAGCATCTCTCTCTCTCTCTCTCTTTCTCTCCCTCTCTCCCTCTCTCTCTCTCTGTCTCTCTCTCTCTCTCTCTCCGCTCGCCTTTCTCCCCTGTCCCCTCTGTCCTCTTTCCCCTCCCTTCTCCCCTCCCTCTCCACCCGACCATTCCCTCCCCACTCCCCTCCTTCCCCTGATCCTCCGCCTCCGTCCCACGCGCCGCGCAAGCACCGATCGCGCGACCAGGCAAGACCGCTCCCTCCGAGCCACGGGGCGAGCGGCGTCCACGGGCTTCCACACGGCGATCGCTCGAGGCGGCCAGTGGTCATGCATCTGGGCGGCGGTCGCGCTGGCCATGCTCTGCAGGCGACCCCCTTCCCTCCCCCCCCGAGCCCTCCCCGTCTCAGGGCCTCCAACGTCCTTAGCAAAAGCGACACGGCCGCGGTCTCGGCCCCGTGAGGCCATCGACGCGCGCCGCGAGGGACCCGACGCCATCCCAGAGGGGGCGATCATCACGCGGGCACCACCCCCGAAAAAACTGCGTGGGCCAAACGTTCTGAGGATGGGCTGCGCAACATAGGTTGCGCCACATGCCGCGCCATTCACATCGTTATCGGTACCCGTACCTTTCCAGTACCGTATAGCCTGCGTGTATAGGGAAACGAAGACTGACATAAACATAAAAACTCGGAGGTCCGCGCGGATTTCTCGGATCGGCGCTGGACCCCCTCCCTGGCGCGCGGAGCGCGCCAAGGGCGGCGCCGGAGGCGCCGCCAGGGGGGTCCAGCGCAGATCCGAGAAATCCGCGCGGACCTCCGAGTTTTGTGTTCATGCCAGTCTTCGTTCCCCTGGCACAGCCGACGTAGAGGCAAGGGCAGCGGTATCGGTACCTCTCCTTCCTCGGAAGGACACCCCCTTCCCCAAAAGGTGGTCGATCGGCAGCGGTCGCGATCCTGCTTGAGATCGGGCGTGTCGGCCGTGCCGGCTGGGCCCGGGGCGCTGGGCGACGCCGCGGGCCGGTCCTGAGGAGGTGGCGGAGGGGGGAAGGAGGAGGAGGACGAGGAGGAGGGAGGCGGAGGCGGGAGGGAGGGGGAGGAGGAGAGAGGAGGAGGGAGAGGGCGAGGAGTCCAGGACGAGGAGGGGGGAGGAGGAGGGAGGGGGAGGAGAAGAGAGGAGGAAAGAGGAAGGAGGAGGAGAAGGAGGAGGAGGAGGAGGAGGAGGAGGAGGAGAAAGATGAGGACCAGTGTACACCCAGGACTCATCAACGACGGCGCAATAACCCTCACTCCAAGTTCCCTCCTCATAGGCCCCTACAAAGTGGAAAACGACCGTCTTCAAATGGGGCACTTCCGTGCCACACCGTGACAAATCGTCTGGAAATCCTGAGCCGTGCCTAAACACCAGTCCTGGGACAGCAAGGCAGCGAATCTGCAGTATGGATGAGTCTTGACGACCCTGAACCGTGCCAGAACGCCGTTCCTAGGACTTCAGCACCGCGAATCAACGCAACTGTTGCACCCTGAACGTCCTACATCGTGCCAAAACACCGTTCCTGGAGAGTTCACCATGAGAGTCCTCGAAACTGCAGAAAAATCCTACAACGAAAACTCGCGGCGATAAAGCGAGAAATTCATGTTGAAAACGGCCCGCCCTCCATCCGTGAACTCTTGCACATTCGTTGGAACGAGTATGCGCGGCGCTAAGACGGTAAGTACGTTTGAAAACGGTCAGCACTCCATCCGTGAAACTCTTGCAACTGATTCAGACGAATGTAGACGGCACTAAAGCGAGAACTGCATTTGAAAAGAACAACAAAACAACCCTACATCCGCGAAGCTCTTGCGAATGTGCACGGCGCTAAGGCGAGAACCATACATTGAAAACGACCCGTCCTGCATCCGCGAACCTCTTGCGACCCATTAAAAGGATTGCGCGCGTCGCGAAGGCGAGAACCACATCTTGAAAAGGAACCGCCCTCCATCCGTGAAGATCTGGCAACTGTTTACAATGAATGTGCGCGGCGCTGGAGCGAGAACCACAGTTAAAAAGCGGCCCGCCCTCTATCCGTGAAGCTCCTGTGAATTTAAAAGCTTCAGGGCCATATCTGGTGAGGAGGTCTCAAGCGAAACGCGCAGTCCGCCCTACCAACCGGCCTCGGGGTGAGAGGGACGGGGAAGGAGGAGGGAGGAGGGAGGGAGGATAGACGCGGCCAACAGGCCCCGGACAGAAGTGCATAACCTGGCTTGGGCGGACTCTCGGTGGTGCGAAAGCCTCGCCCAGAACGTGCCGACGGTGGTGAGCGTGCACGACGAGACGGCCAGAGCCATGGCAGCACTGCGCGGCCGAGCCGCGGAAACGCTGCTCAACGCGTACACCGCAGGCAGCACTGCCTCGCAGCAGCACGCAGGGAAATTCTCCGAGCACTGCACAATTGATTTACCCCAGACACGCTTTTCTGCCAGACCTACAAACACGACAGTGTAGATCTACGAGCAGTCGACGAGAAGACCATATTGGGGAGCACCACAGTTCTGGTAGCAGTCGATCCCCAGCTCGGCCTCTGCACCTGCTCCCGCCGCGCCATGCTCCACGGGAGCCGAAGGCCGCACGGCGGCAAAAAAAAAAGCAGCAGCGCAGGGGCAGGGCGGGGCCTCAGAGCCCTCGGCCCCAAGCGTCCGCCGGCCGGCCGGGGATGGCCTGCGCGGGGCGACTATAGGCCGCACTCCGGGCGGGCTCCAACGACCACCCGGGGCGTCGCGCGGCCGCCCCCGCGGGGGGCGCACGCGGCGGCCGCCCCCCGGCCGGGGCCATCTGCCAGGGCAGGCAGCGACGCCGGCGAAGGAGGGCCCCCGGTGAGCCAGGCGATGGCCGCCCGCCCGCCCAGCGATGCCATATCCCGGGCGGCGGCGCCCTCGCCGCCCTCCGGGGAGCTCTGCCCCGAAGGCCCTGCCGCGGCCTGGAGCGGGCCAGCGCTGCAGCCACGCGGCGGCGACGTGCGGCGCGGGCTGCTCGCCGCGGTCGTGGGCCACGTCCGCCGTCGCGCCACGGCGGTCGGGCCCAGCGGCTCCCGCGTCGAACGCTGGCGAGCCCTCGCCAGCGGCGCAACTGGTCTCGAGGCTCGCGCCGGGATCCTTGCCCTCCGCCCCCACGTGCAGCTCGGTCCAGCGGCCATGGAGTCATGTTGCATCTTCGGGAGACCTTGTCTGTCCCGTCGAGCCCCTATCCGTGTCGAATCCATGCCGGACTCGTCGAATCCCCGTCGAATCCACGCCAGATCCGCGTCGGATCCACGCCGAATTCGCGTCGAGCCCGCGCCAGGGACAGGAAAAGACGCAGAGTTGGGGGACAGACGAGGCCCCCCGAAGATGCAACGCAAATGGAGGCGAAACTCGGGGCGCGAATGTGAGCGTTTTCTTATTCGACGTTTCGACATTGGGCGGAAGGGGGGGGGGAGGGGGAGCGGTCTGGCTCTGGACCTCTGCTTAGTGCGACTGTTTTTGCAGCAGTGCGTCCTATGGGGGAAACTCCACCTGCCTGAAAAACAGGCGCCAAAAACGGCCAAAATCTACTCCATGGGGGGGGGAGGAGGGGGGTACGAGGACCCGTGCCGATCGGCAAAAAAGATACATACAAACACGCTCACATGGTGGTCGTCATCCCCCCGGAACGCGCTTCCTGCGGCCGCTGGTCAGATCGTCGCTGAAGCGCTCGCCCAGCCGGGAGCAGGCCGAGACCTGGATCAGGCACGCCAGCGCGGCCCTCCCCACCCCTGGAAGCAAGGACCCGCGCCAGGACCGGGGGGCTGCGAGGACCCGCGCCGATGGGCAAAAGACTGACTGACAAAGACGATCACCATCGTGGCTCTGCCGCGCAGCCCCGGCGGAGTTGGTCGACCCGCTGGTCGTGGCGGGGTGGTGCGGCGCCTGGCGGCGCGAGTGCCGAGCACGACGCTCGCGGACAGAGCCACCGGGTGCGGGCTGCGGCTGGCCCCAAGCCGTGTGCCGTGGGCCGTGCCCAGCGGGCTGCGAGCTGCGGTGCGGGCCTTCTCGTTGCCAGCACCACCAGGGAGGAACTACAACTCGAGGGAGAGGGAGGGGGGCAGAGAGAGAGAGAGTGAGAGAAGGAGCAAGAAAGAGACATGCAGGCTCTAGAGCCCCTGAGAGCGCCGTTGGCTGCTCAGGGCCCCAGGCCGCCTGCGTCCCCAGCATACTGCACCAGACGCTGAAGCCCCTCAGATAAGGAATCCAAGGTCTACTACAAACGTGGATTGACCATGGAATGGATATCACCGCCGCCCCCATGAGATGTCGCCGCGCCGTTTGTTCTCGACGCGCCCAGGTGAACAACGCCGACACCTCGGCAAACCCACGGCAAGCCTTGCGCCCAGCGCCACAGGTAGCCGCAGCTGGCACCGCGGCAAGCCTCATGGCAAACCCGCCATGCCCGAGGCGGCGTTTACCCTGGTAGCCGAGGCACCCTCCCCAAAACGTGAGGCCACGCGTCGGAACAAACGGCGCGGCGACAAGTAAGGACTCTAGGGTCTGGAAGCTTGTGGAACTCCAACTGCGCATTCGCCATGGATATTGCAATCGCCCCCATGAGATAAAGAACACCCCAGGGTCTGAAGCCTCCTGGGCATATCTCTCAACGAACGGCCCCACAAAAATCCGGAAAACTCCCGCTGCCCCCACGGAGGTAAGCACGCGGAGAGCAATCCTGGATTCTAACGCCACAGAAAAGCCTTCGACAGCAAATCCCCCGGCAGTCGATTCTGGACAGTGCGGTGGCGCGAGTCCCAGACCTCGGCCCGACGTCGGCGGCTTGGCTGGGCGAGGCCATGCAACACGCCCTCTCATACCTTCTGGAACGACACCGACGACGCCGCTGCTCTACGGGCGTTGAACAGGGTCGACCAAAGCTGCCCGCTGTCGCCGGGCTTGTTTTACACCTCTTTGCTGGCGCTCTGGACGAAATCCACGCCGCGCTGCAGGGGCTCCCGCCCTCCCGAAGGCCTTCAGCGACTCCGGCGAAGTGGTGGCCGTCATCTCCCCAGAACGCGCTGCCTGCGGCCGCTGAGCAGATCGTCGCTGAAACGCTCGCCCAGCCCGGAGCAGACCCAGACCTGGATCAGGCACGCCAGCCCGGCCCACACCGCCGACTCTCCACGCTCACACGCGCACCACCCCGGACAGGCTGGCCAGGCGCCGAGTGCCGCACCTGCAGTGGCCCCAGCAGTCAGGCTCACAGCGCGGGCCGCGGGCCCCTCGGCAAGGGTAGCCTGCAGGCTTCTCCGCCCGCGTGCCCAGGGCACTGGTGGCCCACCACCTGCGAGCTAGCCGCGATCTCTCCTGGGTGGGCCAAGGCGACGGTGCGATGTCCGGCTACCTGGCAGAGCTCGTCGGGGCCTCGCTGGACCCTGAGCAGCACGGGAAGGCCGCCATGCGGCGCCTCTAACTCTTCGGCATTTCCCTGCCCTCAGCCCGGGTCGATTCTGCCGCAGCTTACGCGGCGAGCCTGGCCCTCGTCCTGAAGGATGCGGCGCGGGGCGCAGGGTTCTCGAGCTGGCAGGGCTTCCGGACGCAAGGCCCTCTGAGGCAACATTGGCCTCCTGGAAACCGACGTATAGACCTCTGTGCCCAGGGGGGCCGTGGACGGCGACATGGCCTGGCTGGACTGCTTCCAGGAGCCCGCCGCCAAGCTGCAGGGCAGGCGGGGCCGAGGCGCGGCCTGCTGCCACTATAGAGCCCGACGACTCTGGCATCTCACGGCGCGGGCCGCGCCGGAACTTGTGGCTGTGGTGCCCGGCCCGGCCCGGCCAACGCCGGCGGCCTGGCCATACGCGACAAGCTCTCCCTGACCGGCTTGAAGCCTCGCCCCCGATGCGATAGCTGTCCAGAGGACGCACTGCGCCGACACCGACGCGAAGATGGTACAGATCCCACAACGATGGCATCGCCACGGCGGCAGTGGTGCGGGAGAAGCGGGACCGACACGCAAGGAGCGAGGGTAGCCTCGCCCCACT